TCCCACCCGCACAGGTACAGCCAGCATCATTGTTCGCGTGCTTGATGTCAACGACAACGCCCCTTCTTTTGAAAAAGCAAAATATGTCGTAGATGTGATGGAAAACTCTCCAGTTGGCAGTCTAGTAATTAAACTTAATGCCACTGATTTAGATGAAGGATCCAATTCTGAGATTGTTTATTCATACAGTTTGTATACATCAGAAAGGACCCAAAAGATGTTTAACCTCAATCCAGAAAATGGTGAGATCAGAGTCAAAGAGATGATAAATTATGAAGATTTAAAACTTTATGAAATGGAAATTATAGCCAGTGATAAGGGCCCTAACTCAGTATCTGGACAGTGTAAACTTACAATACAGGTGACAGATATGAATGATAATCACCCAGAAATATCAATTAAATCATTTCAGAGTCCAATAAAAGAAGACACACCCACAGACACAGTGATAGCTGTAGTTAGTGTCAGTGATAAAGATTCAGGTGATAATGGAATAGTTGATCTTCATATTCCAGATAATATGCCTTTCAAACTGAGGGAGTCCTCTGATAACTATTATGAATTAGTAGTGTCGGAGCCATTAGACCGTGAGAAGGTGCCAGAATATGACATCACTTTCACTGTGACAGACAGAGGCTCTCCTCCTTTATCTGACAATGAAACTATGACTTTAGAGCTGCTGGATGTTAATGACAATGTCCCACAGTTCCCCCAGTCATTTTATACTATACGTGTCATGGAGAATAACGCACCTGGGGCCTTGCTCAGCTCACTCACTGCCTTTGACCCCGACCTCCATGAAAACCAGTATCTAGTTTATTTCATAATAGAGAAGGAGATAGCCAACACATCCATGTCCATGCTGTTCTCCATCAATCCAGAGAACGGTAATCTTTACGCACTCAAAACCTTTGATTATGAGATTGAGAAGGAGTTTCTGTTCCACATCGAGGCCAGAGACTCTGGCTCTCCTCCTCTCAGCAGTAACGTGACCGTCCACATCATTATTGTGGACCAGAACGACAATGCTCCTGTTATTGTGTCTCCGTGGCGTGCACACGGCTCTGTGGTGGAGGAAAAGATCCCCAGATCCACTGATAAAGGATCCCTGATTGCCAAGGTGATAGCGTTAGATACAGACTCTGTGCACAACTCTCGGATCACCTACCAGTTTCTACAGGTGACTGACGCCACCTTGTTCAGTCTGGACCAATACAATGGAGAGATCCGGACTATGAGGATGTTCAGTTACAGAGATCCACGCCACCAGAGACTTGTTGTTGTTGCCAAGGACAATGGAGAGCCTGCTCTCTCTGCTACAGTCACCATCAAGCTGACCACAATGGAGACTGCTGTTAAAGCCTACTCTGACATGACTGAGGAGCCTCTGGAATATGACATCTTCTCAGACATCAACCTGTATTTGGTCATCGGTCTGGGCTCGGTGTCGTTTCTGCTGCTCATCACCATATTGGTCACCATCGTGATCAAGTGTCAGAAACCCAAGCCCAGCAAAGCAGCTCCTCCCTCCAGGAACAGTGTGATCAGTGAGAGGAACTCCACCATCGCAGACTCCACTCTGGTCTCCAACGATGCCTACTGGTACAGTCTGTTTCTAGCAGAGACCAGGAAAGGAAAGCTGGTGGTTAGACAGACCTCTGCCAAAGGGCTCCAGGTACATTGTGTCCAGCATACCGAGAGGGACAGGACTGACAGACACTAGTGACTCAGCAGCTTCTACTCTGCAGGTAAGAATATAATAAACAGATAGGTTTTTCTTCTTTTCCCCCCCAATTATTGACATCTATGGTTTCTCCAGTGTTCACTGAATCATTAATTCAGCTTTGGAATTTGAATCCATCCCAGTCCAGTCAGTTTACTTACATCTACTGACCTCTATTTGTTTTTTAATTGCTATATTTGGTATTTGGGTTAATAAGCAAATCAGAGTTTCTCTCCATCATCATTAGTGTGGTCAAAGGAATAACTTTGTTAATCTGACTAGATATCTACTAAAGGATTATTTGTTGGGAAGAATGAAAAATAACTTATTGTTCAACTGTACATTTTGTGCGTACAGTTCTTTTTTTTTTTCCCGAAAAAAAGAAAAGATAAGAAAATACTACATAGTCAGTTCAAGCGTTCAAATAAATATGTTAATAATCGAGCATGCACAAACATTTAAGAACGAAAACCTTTATATATACACACGCACTGAAACTGTACATAAACAGACATGCTTGGTGTGTTTGTTTAGTTTTGTTGACTGGTCTGATCACTAACTGGCACTTACTTTTCTGTATTTGGCTGAAATTCTTCTTTTTCTTCTTCTTCTTCTTATTATTATTATCTTAACTCTTTCCATTGTCTCTTTGAGATCACACTATATCGAGTAGCTTGCCTAACTTTTATGTGTAAAGTAGCAGGCAGGCATTGTGTACCTTGCCTATAGCGAGAGCAAACAGTCTTTAGGTGAGTGTGACAAAGACCCGGGTGATGCATACAGTTTATTAAATCGCAATAAAGCTTTATGGCACAAAACATGTAATATAATTTTAGCGCCGTTTCAAAAATAGATGTCTTGCAATTAAACCGGCCTTTATATCATTCCTTAGGCAATGAAAACAGACAGAAAGGACGGGAAAATCGGTAGCACATCATAAGAGAGTAACTGCCATTCGCAATGCGCAGTGATACATTTGATGCCATTACTTGTCCAGTACTGTTTCATGCATCAGCACAGGAAACCTCGCACTCCGACAGGCAAACGGGATACTGTGTTACAAACTCGCTGTTTTCCTCATGATAATTGCGTAATAAAGAAAAAAAGTGCATGGAGAAATGGAAAGATGCCAAAAACTGGGAAGTACTTCGTGTGCATTCACTAATTCACGTCCCAGTTCGCATCAGCAACTTCTTAAACGGGAATTGAGACGCCCTGATTCTGTTGTTATTTAATGAAAACAACTGTATTTTATTTTTATGTTTTTTTTTTTTATTGAAAAAGTTGCGCAATTGTTTCCGTCGCTGTTTTGCAGAAAAACACACCCATTAGTGAGGTCATCGATTTCACGTAAATTTATTGGAGGAAGGAGAATAGGTGGTCCCATTTAAAATGTACGTCATTCGTGAGGAAGAAACATTTTCTCTGATGTTGTCCGTTTCGTGTGTTTAGTCAACAAGAGGACGATTTACCTGCGTTTCCGCACATTTCAAGGTGTTTCAGAGTTACGGAAGCTTCACGATGATGCACCATCTCAAACAGTCATGCGGGACAGGGTACGTTTCCCTGATTTTCTTTCTTTCTGCTATCGTGAATACTGCGTCTTCAATCACCCATTATTCTATTCCTGAAGAAATGGAGGAAGGTTCTGTTGTTGCAAATCTAGCAACCGACCTGAGGTTAGATGTGACGACGCTGAATGAAAGAAAAATGCGCGTGGATGTAGTAGCTAACAAAAAATACCTCGACATTAACAAGGTAACGGGGGAGCTGTACATTTTAGAAAGGATTGACCGTGAGTTTTTCTGTCCATCGAAGACAACATCATACTGCGTTCTTAAATTAGACGCTACTATCGAGAATCCTGTGCGGATGTTTAATATTGAGGTGGAAATAACGGACATTAATGACAACGCTCCACATTTTCGGAGGGGGACGATGCATTTGGACATTTCTGAATCAAGTCCAGTGGGGGAGAGATTCTCACTGAACAATGCTGCAGACCCAGATGTTGGAACAAATTCTGTGAAAAATTACCATCTGAGCTCAAGTGAACATTTCTCAGTTGAAATTCAGACCGGGAGAGACGGGACAAAGTTTGCAGACTTGATTTTAAAAAA